GTAGATTCTCCAGCTGGAGTTCTTTGGTCTTCCAAACTGTTTACCCTCTGAAATTCCTCAAAGCTTTAGGGCTGCTTTCCTGGAAATCTTTGGAGATCTTTGGATGCTCTTAAGACTGTTCTCCCCCAGAAAGTCTTAAGGGTTGAAGCTTTTGCACAGGAGAAGCTTGTACATGTCCTCTAAATTAGCTTTCCTTACTGAGACTAACTAAAAATGGCTCCCTTCCCTTCCCAATTGCCCTGAACAAGGGGCAGAAACAATACTTAATGATTATGGACAGGTGACTTGCCCTACGACTGCAACCAAATGAAGCCACCTTTCTGCAGAATCCCTGAAACCTTGGCCTGCAAACATTTAAAACAAAGCAAACATTTAAAACAAAGCAAATAGAGTTGGAGTTCCTGGTACAGCCGTACCAGCACAGCAGCAATTAATTCAAATTGCAAAAAAAATCCCTAAGCGTCATTTCTATGTACCGAGAGAGCCGGCCAATATGTGGTGGCAATGTAAATACCTAAATGAATTTTGGGGGAAGGTATTTGGAGAGATAGAAGCTATAATGGATATGAAGATAGGGAAAAGCGCAAGCATTGCATTGTTGTTGCTATATAATGTTAAGAAATTGAAAAAAACAGAGAAAGATGCAATAGATAACATGTTAATTGCAGCAAGATTACTGATAGTGAAAAATTGGAAAGGTAAAATAAATACATCAATTGAAGAATGGTGTAAAGATCTATGGAAAATAGCAATAAACAATAAATTGGCATGTAGGTTAAGAGTCAAGAAAGGGGTATGGAAGGAAAATGACTTTGATGAAGTTTGGGGAAAATTTATTGGGAATGGCTTAAAAGAAGTAGATGAGAAATTACCTCCACATGAAGAAATGGTATTTTGGAAAGAGAATGTAAATTAAAGTGGCTCGGGGGTGGGGGGGTGGGTGGGTGGGCACAGAGGTGAATATATATTACACACACACACACACACACACACACACACAAGATATATGTGCACTTATAGTTGATGTAATGAATTAAGGATGGAATATAAGAGTATTGAAGTTATTGATGTATTCTTTGTTGTTCATTCGTTCAGTCGTCTCCGACTCTTCGTGACCTCATGGACCAGCCCACGCCAGAGCTCCCTGTCGGCCGTTACCACCCCCAGCTCCCTCAAGGTCAGTCCAGTCACTTCAAGGATGCCATCCATCCATCTTGCCCTTGGTCGGCCCCTCTTCCTTTTGCCTTCCACTTTCCCCAGCATCATAATTGTCTTCTCCAGGCTTTCCTGTCTCCTCATGATGTGGCCAAAGTACTTCAACTTTGTCTCTAGTATCCTTCCCTCCAGTGAGCAGTCGGGCTTTATCTCCTGGAGGATGGACTGGTTGGATCTTCTCGCAGTCCAAGGCACTCTCAGAACTTTCCTCCAACACCACAGCTCAAAAGCATCGATCTTCCTTCGCTCAGCCTTCCCTAAGGTCCAGCTCTCACATCCGTAGGTTACTACAGGGAATACCATGGCTTCGACTAGGCGGATCTTTGTTGCCAGTCTGATGTCTCTACTCTTCACTATTTTATCGAGACTGGACATTGCTCTCCTCCCAAGAAGTAAGCGTCTTCTGATTTCCTGGCCACAGTCTGCATCTGCAGTAATCTTTGCACCTAGAAATACAAAGTCTGTCACGACCTCCACGTTTTCTCCCTCTATTTCCCAGTTGTCAAGCATTCTTGTTGCCATAATCTTGGTTTTTATGTTTAGCTGCAACCCAGCTTTTGCGCTTTCTTCTTTCACCTTGATTAGAAGGCTCCTCAGCTCCTCCTCGCTTTCGGCCATCAGAGTGGTGTCATCTGCATATCTGAGGTTGTTAATGTTTCTTCCCGCAATTTTCACCCCAGCTTTGCATTCATCAAGCCCCGCACATCGATGATGTGTTCTGCATACAAGTTAAAAAGGTTGGGTGAGAGTATGCAGCCTTGCCGTACGCCTTTCCCAATCTTGAACCAGTCTGTTGTTCCGTGGTCAGTTCTGACTGTTGCTACTTGGTCCTTGTACAGATTCCTCAGGAGAGAGACAAGGTGGCTCGGGATGCCCATCCCACTAAGAACTTGCCACAATTTATTATGATCCACACAGTCAAAGGCTTTAGAATAGTCAATGAAGCAGAAGTAGATGTTTTTCTGAAACTCCCTGCCTTTCTCCATTATCCAGCGGATATTGGCAATTTGTTCTCTCGTTCCTCTACCTTTTCTAAACCCAGCTTCAACATCTGGCAACTCTCGCTCCATGTATGCTGGAGTCTTCCTTGCAGGATCTTGAGCATTACCTTACTGGCATGAGAAATAGGGCCACTGTACGGAAGTTTGAGCAGTCTTTCGCATTTCCCTTTTTTGGTATGGGGATATAAGTTGAGTTTTCCAGTCTGATGGCCATTCTTGTGTTTTCCATATTTGCTGGCAAATGGCATGCATCACCTTGACAGCATCATCTTTTAAGATTTTAAACAGTTCAGCTGGGATCCCGTCGTCTCCTGCTGCCTTGTTGTTAGCAATGCTTCTTAAGGCCCATTCAACCTCACTCCTAAGGATGTCTGGTTCTAATTCATTCACCACACCGTCAAAACTATCCTCAATATTATTATCCTTCCTATACAGATCTTCTGTATAGTCTCGCCACCTTCTCTTGATCTCTTCAGCTTCTGTTAGGTCCCTGCCATCTTTGTTTCTTATCATACCAATTTTTGCCTGAAATTTACCTCCAATGTTTCTAATTTTCTGGCAGAGGTCTCTTGTCCTTCCTATTCTGTTGTCTTCTTCCACTTCCATGCATTGCTTATTTAAAAATAGTTCCTTATCTCTTCTGGCTAACCTCTGGAATTGCGCATTTAACTGGGCATATCTCCCCTTATCACTGTTTCCTTTTGCTTTCCTCCTTTCTTGGGCTACTTCCAGTGACTCAGCAGACAACCATTTTGCCTTCTTGGTTTTCTTTTTCTTTGGAACGTACTTTGTTGCCGCCTCCTGAACAATGTCTCGGACTTCTGTCCATAGTTTTTCTGGGACTCTGTTTACTAAATCTAGTCCTTCAAATCTGTTCTTCACTTCCACTGTATATTCGATCATATCTAACTGGTCTGTGTATTTTCCCTGATCTCTTTAGTTTTATTCTAAATTGTGCAATAAGAAGTTCATGGTCTGAGCTACAGTCAGCCCCAGGTCTTGTTTTCACCGACTGGATGGATGTCCGCCACCTTTGGCTGCAAAGGATGTAGTCAATCTGATTTCGGTGTTGACCGTCTGGTGAGGTCCATGTGTAAAGCCGTCTTTTAGGTTGTTGGAAGAGAGTATTCGTTATACACAGCGAGTTTTCCTGGCAAAATTCTATCAGCCTGCGTCCCGCTTCATTTTGTTCTCCCAGACCATGCTTGCCTGTGATCCCAGTTGTCATTTGACTTCCCACCTTGGCATTCCAGTCTCCTGTAATGAAAATAATGTCCCTTTTTGGTGTATTATCCAGTAGGTCTTGCAGATCCTCATAGAACTGATCTACTTCTGCTTCTTCAGCAGCTGTGGTTGGGGCGTATATTTGGATCACTGTAATGTTGAAAGGCTTTCCTTGCACTCGAATTGAGATCATTCTGTCATTTTTTGGGTTGTATCCAAGCACCGCTTTAGCGAATTTCTTATTAATTATGAAGGCTACTCCATTTCTTCGATGTTCCTCTTGTCCGCAGTAGTAGATCTGGTGGTCATCTGATGTGAAGTGGCCCATTCCAGTCCACTTTCAGTTCGCTGACCCCCAGAATGTCTATCTTTAGTCTTGACATCTCGCCAATAACAACATCCAATTTGCCCTGGCTCATAGATCTTACAGTCCAGGTTCCTATGGTGTGTTGATCTTTAGAGCATCGGATTCGTCGTTCACCTCCAGTACCGTCGGCCGCTAGCCTTCCTTTCGGCTTTGAGCTAGCTGCGTCATCACATCTGGGGCTAGTTGAACTTATCCTCTGCTCCTCCCCAGTAGCATTTTGGCCATCTTCCCACCTGGGAGTCCCATCTTCCAATGGCATACCGACATATCTCTGGTTGTACTGGTCCATTTAGTTTTCTTGGCAAGGATACTGGAGTGGTTTGCCATTGCCTTCCCCAGGGATCACGCTTGGTCTGACCTCTCTGCCACAACCGTCCTGTCTTGGGTGGCCCTTCACGGTTTCGCTCATGACATCATTGAGGTGCTCAAGCTCCAGCGCCCCGACAAGGCGGTGATCCTTTGCTGGAGTGATGTATTCTAAGAAAACCAATAAAGAATATATTAAAAAGAGAGAGAGAGAGAGCCAGCCGAGGCTTGTAATGGAGGCCGGGTAAATATTCATTACTTTTCTAAGGGGTCTGGGGATTTGGGGGGAGGGGGGTGGGTATTCCCATAATTTACCAGACTTATTTAAACTGTAGGAATACTATTTGGACTGCAGTATTCTGCAGTCCAGAACTGGAAATAGTGGATTGATCCTGCATCTTCCAAGAAGGCATGGAATAAATCCACTATCAAATTAATTAACTACAAACCAGGGATTTCCTGTTTTGTGGCAAACTAATTCGGGACTGTCCATAACATTTTCTGGACAGCCCCTCCTTTATTGCGGTAGATGTTTGGATTGGCCCTCACTTCAAAGCAGATATTGTGGGATTTTCTGCCTTGATGTTCTGGGATATAGGGCTGTGGAGAAGGGCCTCAAGTGAAATCCAAGGACTGAAATGACTAATACTTCCTTTTATTTGCATTTATTTCACATTTTTATCGTAAGTACTGGAATTGGTAGTGCAGCAGATCATTCCAGAGACACCAATTAGGGTTAATGTGTTCTTAAAGTTGTGACGTAGTTAAAATATGTGCTAGTAGAGGTCATTAAAGGTGCAAAATCAACACACCTGACTGCCAACAGAAATGTTGCTTCATAACTAGGCGGGACCTAAACTTTCCCTTTTAAGTGCATTCTCTTTTATGATTGTCCTCATTGCATCCCTGTGATTCTTGCCACATCCATAAAACCAAAAGATCTGTTGCCTTTTCCTCTGGATCCTGCATCACTGACATTCAGCTGGTAGGCAAGGACTCTTTTTATTTAAGAAAATTTGGGGCAACTGGGTTATCGAGGAAGGGATCTACAATGGGAGGTCTTGTACTTGTTTTTTCTATAACTGTTTTCCAATTCAGTTGTTTTGATATGATCATTTGTACTGCTAGTTATAATCTGTGTTATACATTCTCAGCCAAGATCATATTCTTTCACTCAAAGGATTTCTAGGTCTTTCAGTATGGTCAGCTTTGGGAGAAAGCTGGCCAGAGATTTGTTATTGTTATAATCTATATAAATAAAAATGTAATGTTTGTTTGTGGGATTAACAAAACTCAAAAACCACTGGAAGAATTGACACCAAATTTGGACACAAGACACCTAAGAACCTAATGTATGTCCTTCTAAAAAAAAATTGATTTTCTAATTTGGGAGTTGTAGTTGCTGGGATTTATAGTTCACCTACAATCAAAGAGCATTCTGAACCCCAGCAATGATGGAATTGAACCAAACTTGGCACACAATTCTCCCATGACCAACAGAAAATACTGGAAGGGTTTGGTAGGCAGTGTCCTTTGGTTTTGGAGTTGTAGTTCACCTACATCCAGAGATCACTGTGGACTCAAACAATGATGGATCCGGACCTAACTCTACACGAATACTCAATATGCCCAAATGTGAACACTGGTAGAGTTTGGGGAAAATAGAATCTTGACATTTGGGAGTTGTGGTTGCTGGGATTTATAGTTCACCTACAATCAAAGAGGATTCTGAACCCCACCAATGATGGAATTGAACCCAACTTGGCACACAATTCTCCCATGACCAACAGAAAACACTAGAAGGATTTGGTGGGCATTTACCTTGAGTTTTGGAGTTGTAGTTCACCTACATCCAGAGATCACTGTGGACTCAAACAATGATGGATCTGAACCAAACTCTACACCAATACTCAATATGACCAAATGTGAACACTGATGGAGTTTGGGAGTTGTAGATCATTGTCGTTCAAACAATGATGGATCTGGACCAAACTTGGCACAAATATTCCATATGCCCAAATATGGACACGGATGGAGTTTGGGGAAAATAGACCTTGATATTTGGGAGTTGTAGTTTATTTATTTATTTATTTACTTCATTTGTATACCGCTCTTCTCAGCCCTTAGGCGACTCAGAGCGGTTTACAACCAAATCAGTATACAAAGTGCACAAAATTAGCATTTAAAAGCGGTAACTATGGCAACTACATCAATATAACAATACATCAATACATCAATATAACTAATCCATCACGTCTCATCAGTAAAGTCATAATCCGACTTACTGGGAGTTACTGGGATTTATAGTTCACCTACAATCAAAGAGCATTCTGAACCCCAGCAATGATGGAATTGAACCAGACTTGGCACACAATTCTCCCATGACCAACAGAAAATACTTAAGGCCATCCAGTCCAACTCCATTCACCAGGGCAAGGAAACATAATCAAAGCCCTTTTGACAAAGAGCCATCCAGCCATAGATATAGATAGATATATGATTCACACACACAGAGATATAGCATCATAGATTGGAAAGGGACCCCTAAAGAAAGACAATTATATGTTGCATGTTCCAGAGTAGGCAAAGCAGACAATCTCCACATCAACATTGACAAAGAAACAGCAATAAATAATGTTTACCCACAAGCACCAAGACATTACATATATTAGAAACCAACACTTTCTCATTACTTTCTTTTCCAGATCACCAGACTGGGCCACAGCAACACGTGGCAGGGGACGGCTAGTTGGTTTATAATCAAATCCACAAAGGTTGAACCCACAAAGAAGTGGAGGCAATTGCAATTAAAGGCAGTCCCCAAGTGACAGGCATATTGCAGGCAAGTTACATACAGGCAGTCCCCAGTAGGTTTGTTCTTAAGTTGAATTTGTATGTAAGTTGGAAAAAGGACATTTTTAGTTGTGCCCCTGTTCAGACGATTTCACTTCACTTTCTATCCCTGTGGGGCCTTCCACCCAGCCATATAACCCAGAATATCAAGGCTGATTATCCACAATACTTGAAGCAGTACATACAAAAAAGATCTTGGAGTCCTCATGGACAACAAGTGAAACATGAGTCAACAATGTCATGCAGTAGCAAAAAAAAGCCAATGGGATTTTGTCCTACATAAATAGGAATATAGTGTCTAGATCTAGGGAAGTCATGCTATCCTTCTATTCTGCCTTGATCAGACCACACCTGCAATCATGCTGTGTCCAATTCTGGGCACCACAATTGAAGGGAGATGTTGACAAACTGGAATGAGTCCAGAAGAGGGCAACTCAAAAGATCAAGGGTTTGGAGAACAAGTCCTATGAGGAGCAGCTTAAAGAGCTGGGCATGTTTAGCCTGAAGAAGGGAAGACTGAGAGGAGACATGGTGAGGGCCATGGATCAAAGTGTGAGGGGAAGTCATAGGGAGGAGGGAGCGAGCTTGTTTTCTGCTGCCCTGGAGACTAGGACACAACTGAACAATGGCTTTGAACTACAGGAAAGGAGATTCCACCTGAACATGAGAAAGAACTTCCTGACTGTGAGAGCCTTTCAGCAGTGGAACTCTCTGTCCCAGAGTGTGGTGGAGACTTCTTCTTTGGAGGCTTTTAAACAGAGGCTGGATGGCCATCTGTCGGGGGTGATTTGAATGAGATTTTCCTGCTTCTTGGCAAGTGGTTGAACTGGATGGCCCATGAGGTCTCTTCCAACTTTATGAGTCTATGATATCTGCTTGGAACTGGATTATCTGAGTCCACACTGCCATATAATCCAGTTCAACAAGGATTTATATAACTGCATTGAAGGGACCCATGAGAACTGGAATTTGAAAAAAATGACTGGTTGGGGAAACAAGGATTGGTTATAAAGCGTCAGTTGAGACAGCTTTTCCCCATGATAACTCTTCCAGGAGTGGATTTCCCTTTATAGCAGTGGATTTCTCTCTTCCTGTTATCACAGCCCCGTCATTAATTGCAGATGTTTGTAATTTGGGGACCACCTGTGTATGTTTTTAAAATTAAATTTCATTCTATCTTTTTGATTGCTTAACTTCACAGTGTTCAGTCTGTATCTTGGGCCCCTTCCACACAGCTGCATAACATCCACATTGAACTAGATTATATGGCAATGTGGACTCAGATAACCCACTTCAGAGCAGATGTTGTGGATTATCTTTCTTGATATTTGGATTACATGGCTGTATGGAAGGGCCCTATATCCAAGGATCTGATCCCAGGTTTTCTGCTTTAAACTGGATAATATGAGTCCACACTGCCAGATAATCTGGGATAAACCTGGGATCAGATCCTGGGATATAGGGCCTGTCTGGAAGGGCCCCAAGTTAGCCTTGGGATAATATATGCAGAATGTCAAGTAGAGATACATTTCATTTTGGAAAATACTGAGTTAATTTTAAACTGATCTGGGAAGTAGGAGTAAAGAGTCCTTGGTAATCTAAGAGTTCTCAGCACGAGGAACACATTTTGTGGCTCTCCAAAATAATATTGGCTTGTACAGTTACAAAACCTGGGATTTCCAGAGACTTTTTTCTTTTCTGGAGGGACTCCAAGATGTTGAAAGGCACAATAACTGAAATTTGAGAATGTCCAATGCAATTTGCATATCTCATAGTGCTTACAAGATATTTATTTTGTTGGTTAAATTTTTCAATAACTGAAACTTGAGACTGTCCAATGCAATTTGCATATCCCATAGTGCTTACAAGATATTTATTTTGCTGGTTAAATTTTTCAAAGCATTTCAGCTTGCCTATAACCTCAAATGGTTTTCATGTCTCCAGGAATTTTTTTTGAAAGTTTCGACTCCAGGTATTTCTGAAATTTGATTCTAAACCAGTGGTTCTCAACCTTCCTAATGCCACGACTCCTTGATACATGTTGTGATGGCCCCCAATCATAAAATTATTTTTGTTGCTATTCGTAACTGTAATTTTGCTACTGTTATGAATCGTAATGTAAATATCTGAAATGCAGGATATATTTTCATTCACTGGACCAAATTTGACACAAATACTTGATATGCCCAAATTTGAATACTGGTGGGGTGGGGTGGGGTGGGGGGTGGCATTGATTTTGTCATTTGGGATTTGTAGTTGCTGGGATGTATAGTTAACCTACAATCAAAGGTCATTCAGAACTCCATCAACAATGGAATTGAACCAATATGGCACACAGAACTCCCATGACCAACAGAAAATATTGGAGGGGTTGGTGGGCACTGACCTGGAGTTTTGGAGTTGTAATTCACCTACATCCAGAGAGCACTGTGGACTCAAATAGGGCTTTCATGGAGGGAATCACTGGGTTGTTGTAGGTTTTTTGGGCTGTGTGGCCATGTTCTAGAAGCATTCTGTTCTGACATTTTACCTGCATCTAATCAAGGTGGCCAATTGAAACATTCACACCCACCTCCAACAAACAAGAGTTCTTTTTCCCATCCTGGACATTCCTCAGACATATAAACCCAATTGTCCTAGTTTCTAACAGACCTCACAACCTTTGAAGATGCCTGCCATAGATGCAGGCAAAATGTCGGGAAAGAATGCTTCTAGAACATGGCCATACAGCCTGAAAAACCTACAACAACTCAATGATGGATCTTGACCAAACTTGGCACGGATACTCAATATGTCCAAATGTGAACACTGGTGGAGTTTAGGGGAAAATAGATATTGACATTTGGGAGTTGTAGTTGCTGAGATTTATAGATCAAAGAGCACTCTGAACCCAGCCCACCAAACTTGCACTAACTACCTACACTACCTTCATGGCCAATATTGAATACTTGAGAGGTTCAAGGGGGGTGTTTTTGAAATCTGGGAGTTGTAGTTCACCAACATCAAAAAGGAAGAGGAAGACAGCCAGAGAGATCTTCAGTTTTCTCTTCCTAAGTACCCATCTCAGAATCCTATGTGTTAATTTCTATATATGGCTATTAATTATAATTTTACTCTACCCAATGCTTATGTGGGCTGAGAAATTGTCAGAAAGGGAATCAACTCACCATGGATTGTCACAAAGAGAAATAAATGGGCTTGAGTGCAAATCAAGCCTGAGCTCCCTCTAGAAACCGAAGTAACTAAACTAAGGACATAACATGAAAGGACATGACTCAGTTGCGAAGACACGAATGGTCACTAAAGCTGAAGGTAATAAGAAAAGAAGGCCACATTACAGGTGGATGAGGTCAAAAAAGGCATCCACTAACTCAAGTTTGCAAAATCTGACCAGGGCTGTTAGAAACAGGATATTTGGGAGCTCTCTCATCCATAAGGTTGTCAAAAGTTGAAAGTTACTTGACAGCAAATAATAACATTTTCCACAAATTTCTCTAGAATACCACCAATTTGATGTCAATATTATACTGCCAAATAGTGTAAAATATTCCACAAAGAAGACAGCAACAATTTCCATACATTCTGGCAAGTCTACTTTCTCCTTCCCTAGAAAGAGCAATTGTATAGATTTCCTCTGCTTTTGTTTCCCTTCAGTGTTATTACAGAGTTATGTGTATAAGAAGCAAAGGCTTCATGCTTGCAATTGTGGCAAAGTATAGGTGATCAAGACAGTCCACTTAGGCAGAAAAAAATGAAATACAAAGAGGCAGAATGGGAGACACCTGGGCCAACAGCAGTAGTGTGAAAAAGATCTCGGAGCCCTTGTGGACAGCAAGTTAAACACGAGCCAACAATGTCATGCGGTGGCAAAAAAGCCATTGGGATTTTGGCCTGTATAAATAGGGGTCTAGTGTAGATGCAGGGAAGTCATTCTACCTCTCTCTTCTCCTTTGGTCAGACCACACCTGGACTACTGTGTCCAATTCTGGGCATCACAGTTGAAGGGAGATTATTATTATTATTATTAAACTTTATTTGTACCCCGCTAGCATCTCCCGAAGGACTCGATGCGGCTTACAAAGGCCAAGGCCTCAATACAGATGTGTCCAGAGTGGGATGACTAAAATGATCAAGAGTCTGGAGAACAAGCCCTATGAGGAGTGGCTTAAAGAGGTGGGCATGTTTAGCCTGGAGAAGGCTGAAGGAGACATGATGAGGGCCATGGATCAAGATGTGAGAGGAAGTCATAGGGAGGAAGGGGCAGGCTTGTTTTCTGCTGTTCTGAAGACTAGAACGCAATGGAACAATGGCATCAAACTACAGGAAAGGAGATTCCACCTGAACATTAGGAAGAACTTCCTGACTGTGATTCAGCAGTGGAATTCTCTGACCAGGAGTGTAGTGATGACTCCTTCTTTGGAGGCTTTTAAACAGAGGCTGGATGGCCATCTGTCAGGGGTGCTTTGAATGCAGTTTTCCTGCTTCTTGGCAGGAGATTGGACTGGATGGCCAATGAGGTCTCTTCCAACTCAATGGTTCTATGATTCTAAGATGAATCCAAACAGATTTGGATCTTGACCAGGTGAATGATTTGTGTCTAATTTCACCTCTGTATTATGTCTCTCACTTAGTGACATTGTGAAGCCAGAATTCATTTTTGCCATGAAATTATTTGCTGTTTTAGCTGCACTCCTCTTCTTGGGGCTGCTGGTTGACGCAGGTAAGAACCATATCTGGGGATGTTGAAATAAATTAGATAATGCATTCTGTCCTTCATATTCACTGGGGTTTAGGGGCACATGACCTCATGGAAGTAGGTATACCATAAATAAAAAAAACAGCCTGAAAATCTACAACAACCCAATAAAAATCCACTTTTTTAACTGGAGAGAACATCTCATCAAGGAATTGCTAAATCCTCCAGCATGACTCAGTGGTCAATCTCTTGCAGAGATTGACTGTAGAGTCACACTGGAGGACCTAGTCCTTTCTAGAGAGAACATTTTAATCAAGTTTGTAAATAATCAAATCCTCCAAAACAAAGTTTATATATGTGAAGGACTGATAGTAAAAGTTTTTTTAAAGAATAGTTACATATTGAATTCTGAATAAAGTGAAAACATAAGTGGATTTTTTTTGGCTATATTTGCTCAGAAGAGGTTTGGTGCTGCATTCTTCTGAGGCTGAGAGTGTGACTTGCCTAAGGTCACCCATTAGTTTCCATGTCCAAGTAGCTATTTGAACCCTGATCTCTTGAGATGTTATCTAATACTCAAGCCATAATGCCATCAAATTCCCAATTAGTTCCCTCGGGGAGATAGGGCAGAATATAAATTGTTGTTGTTGCTGTTAATAATAATAATAATAATTACTGTGAGTCAGTCTAGGACAGCTTGGACACCTTCATCAACCTATGTAGAGTTTTGCAGACTAGGATGGACAGTATCTTCATGTGTCTATATAAAGATATATGCTTTCAAGAAGTCCCAACAGTTTGAAATGCTGGACCACTCTCACAACCACTATGTCAGACTACACAGAAAAGTCATTGAAATACACAAGCATGTGGACAATTTGAATAGAAAGGAGGAAACCATGAAAATGAACAAAATCTGGCTACCAGTATTAAAAACTCTAAAATTACAACAGCACAACAACAGAGAGGAAACAAACAAGGACATCTAATCACCTCTTGACAAAAGTTTGCTCCAGGCACTGTCAGGCCATTATATGCTAATCAAGGTGGTCAGTTGGAACATTCACACCTAGCTCCAGCAGACAAGAGTCCTTTGTCCCACCTTGGTCATTCCACAGATATATAAACCCTTTTTTCTAGTTTCAACAGACCTCACTACCTCTGAGGATGCTTGCCATAGATGCAGGTGAAACGTCAGGAGAGAATGCCTCTAGCCAGGGGTAGGGAACCTTTGGCCCTCCAGCTGTGGTGGACTTCAACTCCCACAATTCCTTGAGGCTCGGCATTGGGCCAAGGTAAGCCTTTGGGGCGAATGCCGAGCCTCAAGGAATTGTGGGAGTTGAAGTCCACCACAGCTGGAGGGCCAAAGGTTCCCTACCCCTGCTCTAGACCATGGCCATATAGCCCGAAAAAACCTACATCAACCCAGTTTGAGAGCTCATTTGTAGACTGATTGTCCCACAGACTGGATTTTTAAACATATTGCATTCCCTCTTTTTGTTGATATTTTGTAAATATTTTTAATTGAACATTTTGTTAGCATGTGTTCAAGTGGGTTATAGTGTTTGGATCATGTGGTTTTAATGTTTTTATTGTGTTTCTAATTTTAATACTTCATGTTAAAATGTCCTATTATCTTATGGTGAATTTGTCCTATTGTATTTTATGCTTAGTCATATGCTGTTTGATGTATGATTTGGTTTATGTATGTAAGGCGTTGAATTTTGCCATTATTATTTTTTGTAAACCACTTTGAGTCTCCCCAGGGGTGAGAAAAGCAGTATATAAAAAACTGTAAATAAATAGATCTCACAACCTCTGAGGATGCTTGCCATAGACGCAGGTGAAACGTCAGGAGAGAATGCTTCTAGAACATGGTCATATAGCCCCAAAAACCTACAACAACCCTGTGAATAAACAAATAATAGATAAAACCAAATTGCATATCAGAGAGAAAGGGAAGCTATGCCTTGAAGACATACATGAAACCAATGACACTCAGCTTCAACTACCACATAAAAGCTTCCAGACATGTCTAAATCCCAGTTCCTCCCAGGATTTTGTCCCTGCATCCACTCTATACCCTGGACTTTCTTTTGGGGGATAGCTCCATGCCCTCCTGCATTAACCAGAGATCGACCCAGGAAGGCATGGATCCAGCCCCCCATTACCCCCCAAAACTTACATGAGGGGCTTGGCTACATGCTCATTTGGACGCCTCAGAGGAACCTTGGATAGGTCCCGCATTATAGGCCTGTCTGGATGGGTCCTTGGTGAACAGAAGGTTTGGCTGGAATTCTAACTGTCCCTAAAGTTATTCTACAGTTAGAATACATAGGTGAGATTTATTTTCCAGGAATTAATGGTTTTGGAGAATATATTCCATACAAAAGAAGATTAGGTTTTTCAGAGACAGATGCTATTTTACAATTAGGTTTTGATGTGTTCTAGTTAGGAGAAGAAGGCCCCATGATGGTGCAGCAGGTTAAACCGCTGAGCTGCTGAAATTGCTGACCAAAAAGTTGGCAGTTCAAATCTGGGGGGGTAGGGTGAGCTCCCACTGTTAGCCCCAGCTCCTGCCAACCTAGTAGTTCAAAAACATGCCAATGTAAGTAAATCAATAGGTACAGCTTCGGCGGGAAGGACATAGCACTCCATGCAGCCATGCTGGCCACATGACCTTGGAGGTGTCTATGGACAATGCCAGCTCTTTGGCTTAGAAATGGAGATGAGCACCATTCCTTAGAATCAGACACGACTAGACAGGGGAAACCTTTACCTAGTTAAGAGAGGAGATTTGGGAAACACTTCCTGTAGGGCTCATTTGTCAGCATTTGAGGGTGTTTTTGATCCTGAGGACCACAAAAAAGCCCTTGTAATCTACATGTGGTCTGTAGTCCAAACTTTGCCACTCATGATCTAAAACTTTTGCTAAAAATTCTGTTTAGCAGCAGACAAAGTGTAGTGTGTTCATCATAACAGGTAACTTAAATGTCAGGAAAGGACTGATAGGGAGTGAAGTGTAAACCCGTAATCTGATATAGATTCCCTTTTTTTCTTATTCAGTTCCTCAAGACAAATTTATATCAGAAGAAGACTGTATCTATTGGGGAGCAAAATGCACGAGACTTCCATGTAGCACAGATATGGTTTTCCATGGACTGTGTGCGCCAGATGTCAATTGCTGCAAACCGTAAATATTAATTTCTTCATTATTTGGACAGATACCTTGTCTTCCTCTAAAACACCTGGGGGCAGCTGCACTATTGAATAAATGTAACTGCCATGGCTCAATGCTATAGAATCACAGGAATCTTAATTTTACAAAGTGCTGTCTTTAGCCTATAAAGCCCTAAACCAGCGGTTCTCAACCTGGGGGACGCAACCCCCAGGGGGGTTGCTGGGCCATTTTCTGGGGGTCGTGAAGGCGCCTCAGTTGGCCCCGCCCCTTCCGCCTCCTTAAAATGGCTGCCAGCCCATACCAGGGAAACAGCCAGGCTTTCCAGGTCGTCACTGCCCTAAACGGTTCCGGCCCAGCTTAGCTGTTCGAACATATCTCTCACTATGAACCATCTAGGAGCTTAAGATCGTCTGGGGAGGCCCTGCTCTCAGTCCCATCTTCTTCGCAGGCGCAACTGGCAGGGATGACAGACAGGGTCTTCTCTGTGATGGCCCCATGACTGTGGAACTCCCTAGGGATATTAGATCAGCCCCTTCCCTCCTGACCTTCCGTAGTAAAGCGAAAACATGGCTTTTTGAGCAAGGCTTTGAGAACCTAATGCAATAGATAATCATGGAACTATGTGAAATCAAATACTGGAATTGCTTAGATGATGATTGCAGATAACAAGGCTACCAGTGAAGGTAGTGGTTTTATATAGAATCATAGAATCATAGATTCAAAGAGTTGGAAGAGACCTCATGGGCCGTCCAGTCCAACCCCCTGCCAAGAAACAGGAATATTGCATTCAAATCACCCCTGACAGATGGCCATCCAGCCTCCACACTCCGGGGCAGAGAGTTCCACTGCTGAACGGCTCTCACAGTCAGGAAGTTCTTCCTTATGTTCAGATGGAATCTCCTTTCTTGTAGTTTGAAGCCATTGTTCCGCGTCCTAGTTTATAAAGCTTTGAATATATGTATTTTACAATTGTGTTTTAAATGTTTCTTCTAATTTTTCATTGTTTTAATGGCATCGAATAGCTGCCTATGTTATAAAGCCGCCTTGAGTCACCTTTGGGTTCAAGAAAGGCGGGGTAGAAATATCATAAATAAATAAATAAATTTCCCCTTGGCAGGACATTTCCAAAGGCTGGTATTTGCTATCAAGAAAATATCTTCTATTGATCCTAGTGCAGATTTGTAATCATTTTGTAGGAGTTTCAGACATGGCCTAATATCCTGTGCTCTACTTTCCGTATTTTCTCTTCTTGCAGAGATCCTATGCCACGTTGTAAAGCCAGGAGAGGCACATGCATTGAAGGGGGTTGTGGGAGAGATGGTACCTTCCTTTTCAAGTGTTCCAGGGACTGGGTATGCTGCAGATCACCAAAGTCTATCAGGTACGTACACAGAGACACAAGAACCACAATGATGAAACTGAGTACATATGTTAAACCGCAATTTGGAAATGCTGATTTAAAATACATACTTCACTTCACTTCACTTTATTTCTTAATTAGTCGCTCTCCACCAAGGTGCTCTGAGTGACTTACAATTTAAAATAGCATTTACACAATATAAAAACATTCAACATAAAAACATTCCTTCAGTGACTATTTGGCAAATTAGAATCTCATTACTTAAATGCAAAACCAAACAGCCAAGTCTTGAGTGCCTTTACAAAAGGTCGCAACTCCAACATTGCTCTAATGTATGGAGGCAATGAGTTCCACAGAATTGGAGCATAGGCCAAAAAAGCTCTACGCCTTGTAGCTTCCAGGTGTACCTCCCTAGGGCCGGGTATGTATAGGAGATTTTCCTGGGTGGATCGAGGTGACCACTGATGGAGAAAAGGAATGAGGCGGTCCCTAAGATACAAAGGTCCTTGGCCATTTTGAGCTCTAAATGTCAGGATCAGTATTTTGTAAGAGATCCGATGTTCTAGTGGTAACCAATGCAGTTGTTGCAGAATCGGTGTAATATGGGATCTTATAGATGATCCCGCTAGCAGCCTGGCCACTGCATTTTGGACCATCCGAATCTTCTGAGTTGTTGACTTAGGAAGGCTGGCATATAAGGCGTTGCAATAGTCCAACCTCGTGGTGACTGTTGCGTGGATTACCGTTGCCAATGCTTCTACCGAAAAGTAGGATGCCAATTTCCTTGCCTGGCGAAGATGAAAAAAGGCCTGTTTACTTATGGCAGTGATCTGGGCCTCCATCGTCAGCAATGAGTCCAACACAACCCCAAGGCTTTTAACAGTGGCAGACGGAACCAGAGCTTCCCCATTGAAATCAGGCAGAGACTGGATTAATTCTGGCGGCTGGCCGGGCCAGAGTATCTCAGTTTTAGCAGGATTCACTTTTAGTCTGCTTGCTCACAGCCAACTCATCACTGCTTCCAAACACAGCTTAAAGTTCTCAAGAATCGCGGTTGTCCCAGGTTCAAGACGCAAGAGTACCTGGGTATCATCTGCATACTGGTAATACTCTATGCCAAAGCTCTGCCCCAGTCCAGCAAGTGGCCGGACGTAGATGTTAAATAACAGGGGTGAGAGGATAGCACCCTGGGGAATTCAACAGCAAAGGCAGGAGCTCTCATATATAATTTTGACAATGGATAGAACCAATGTTTTTTGCGAGTATGTCTTATAAGAGTAGTCCTAAGCTACATTTGTGCATTGATCTTCCATTATGTTTCTGGAACATGGCCATACAGTCTGGAAAATTCACAGCAACCCAGATTTTCTATTAATTCTGAACTGGATCCTTTATGTTTACCAAATTTTGCTGGATGCATAATGATTGCTTGCACAGGTTTTGTAGGGCTTTAAGTCAATTAATCAGTCAATGAAAGATCAATGAGATTTTACATTACAGATTGAAGCAATATTTTATAATATTCATTTCCCAGTCCAAAAATAGGTTCCTCAACAGTTTAGGAAGACAGTTGGGAAGAATAACTGAGTAGCAAAACTTTGCATAGCATGCTCCTGTGGCATAGCTGGCTGGGAGTAAGCTGCATTAAGATCACTACTGACCAAAAGGTCATGAGTTCGAAGCCAACCTGGGTTGGAGTGAGCTTCCGACCAATTTGTGTAGCTTGTTGTTGACCTTTGCAGCCCGAAAGACAGTTCCATCTGTCAAAAAGGAAATTAAGGTACCACTTACATGGGGAGGCTAATTTTACTAATTTATGAGGACATAAAAATCTCCAGCAAGCATGCAAAGAATGAGGAAGTACTTCATCAGTGTCACAAATGGACGGTAAAGCGACAGCTCCCCTGGTGGCCAGAATACCCTCATGAAGCTGGAATGTTAAATAGCCTCTGTGTGTCTGTCTATATATATTGGGTGCCTATGGCATTTAATGTTTGCCATGTATATGTACATTGTAATCCGCCCTGAGTCCCCTGCAGGGTGAGAAAGGTTGGAATATAAATACTGTAAATAAATAAATGTCACTAAATATTGGGTTTTTTGGTAGTTTTCTACACAACAAAATAAGGGGTTTTTGGAACTTTTGTCGACGGAGAAATCCTTAGGACAGTTATGAGTGGAATGAAGGGAGAATATATTTCATGTCTCCCATTTTGGAGGGAAGAAAATAGGGTTTTTTTTGTTTTCCAGGTGAAGATGAAATTTTCTTCTAGTTTTTCATGTTTTATTTCTTGTGTTTTTTTTTCTTCAGTGGAAGGCGTTGAGATTCTGACTATCAAAGATCTGGGACCTCAGAAATCCATCGCTGAATAATTTATGTGACTACAGATATCCCCCCCCCCCAAAAAAAGAGGAAAGTTTGAATGTATTTGGGGTGAGGGGTAAAATCTGGAAAAAATAAAGTAGATGTCTGTGGGAATATCAAAGTTTTTGGTAGGTACGATGGTTCCGCTCGTTGACATCTTTGTTATCGTACATATAAAAAGGTTCTTTCTGTTTCTCTCATTGTCATCACCACCACAATAAAAAAATAACAATGTGAATACGACAACTAAGGTCCTCTGGTGTCACAGCAGGTTAAACTGCTGAACTGCTGAACTTGCTGACCGAAAGGTTGGCAGTTTGAATCTGGGGAACGGGGTGAGCTTCTGCTGTTAGCCCCAGCTTCTGCCAACCTAGCAGTTTGAAAACATGCAAATGTGAGTAGATCAATAGGTACCACTTCTGCAGGAAGATAACGATACTCCAGTCATGCTGCCCACATGATCTTGGTGGTGTCTACGGACATCGCTGGCTTAGAAATGGAGATGAGCACCACCCTCCAGAGTTGGACACAACTAGGCTTAACACCAGACATGAGTAGACTTTACCTTTACCTATGACAACTAAACTGGTTTAACGAATCTCTCTAGGGAATCGAGGGGTCATATAACCCAGAATATCAAGACAGATAATCCCACACTATCTTCTTTGAACTGGGTTATCTGAGTCCACACTGCCATATAATCCAGTTCAAAGCAGATAATGTGGGGTTTTATACAGCTATGTGGAAGGGGTCTAAACATTCCAGAAAATTAGGCACTTTCGACTAAAACTCACAGTGGATCTACTGTCCTGCTGATACTCACCACTCTCGACTTGATGTGACTCATAAAAGGGAATTTCAAAACAATGAACAAAGCATCAATAAAATAAGATTAAAATCTCTTCAGCCTTCATTGCACAAAGAGTCCTGAATGGTTTGTGTGTTTCTTTACATTGTACCCATAAACTGCAAACGTCAAGCAAACTAAGCTATTGAATTTAGATATAATTTCAATTTTAAATTAGGATTCCAGAGTAACGAAAGCATGACGAACATCACCAGTCAACGCACTCATACTATCGGAAGGGACATCTGAGTCCACTTCTCTTTCTCTCTTCTGGAATTTTCTCACTTCCCTGCTCACCACTTTTCTTGCATCTGGAGGGATAAAAACTTATACAAGAACATTGAGAATAATCCTTTTCTAGCTGATAATAAAGTCTTGTCTGCTTGGTTCTACCTCTAATTTAAGCAAACTTCAAGATGGAAAAAATACATTTAGGAAATATGCAGGTAACAAATATGATGATTATAAAGAAATCAATGCACTCCATTTAATGTTTAGAATATCTCATAGGTTACCATCTAGTACACATTTACTTTAGAATTTATTTATTTACTAGCCGTCCCCTGCCACATGTTGCTGTGGCCCAGTCTGTTGATCTGGAACATAAAGTAATGCGAAAGTGTTGGTTTCTAATATATGTAATTTCTTTATGCTTGTGGGTAAACAGTATTTCTTGTTGTTTCTTTGTCAGTGTTGATGTGGAGAGTGTCTGGCTTGCCTACTCTGGAATATGCAACATATCGTAGTCCTTCTTTAGGGGTCCCTTTCAAATCTATGATACTATATCTCTCTGATCAGGGCTCTGATTCCATTTTCTTGCCCTGGTGAAGAGAGTTGGACTGGATGGCCTTAAGTATTTTCTGTTGGTCATGGGGGTTCTTTGTGCGAAATTTGCCCTAATTCTGTCATTTGTGGGATTCAGAAAGATTGTAGGTGAACTATAAATCCCAGTAACTACAAATCCCAAATGTCAAGGTCTATTTCCCCCAAACTCCATCTGTGTTCATATTTGGGCAAATTGAATATTCGTGCCAAGTTTGGTCCAGATCCATCATTGTTTGAATCCACAGTGCTCTCTGGATGTAGGAGAACTACAACTCTCAAACTCAAGGTCTATTTCCCCCAAACTCCATCTGTGTTCATATTTGGGCAAATTGAATATTCGTGCCAAGTTTGGTCCAGATCCATCATTGTTTGAGTCCACAGTGGTCTCTGGATGTAGGAGAACTACAACTCCCAAACTCAAGGTCAATGCCCACCAAACCCTTCTAGTGTTTTCTGTTGGTCATGTGAATCCTGTATGCCACGTTTGGTTCAGTGCCATAATTGGTGGAGTTCAGAATGCTTTGATTGTAGGTGAACTATAAATCCCAGCAACTACAATTCCCAAATGACAAAATCAAAATTTTTTGAATGAAGTACATACATTGGGTTGTTAGGTGTATACTGTCCAAATTTGGTGTCAATTGGCCCACTGGTTTTTGAGTTCTGTTAATCCCACAAACGAACATTACATTTTTATTTATATAGATGGTGTCAGAAACGAATTGAAGGTAGAGTTCTGATGTATTTAAAAACACAAACAAAGTTAAAACTTGGCATTATACTAAATGTCCTTTGACCAGTAGTTGGGCACTTGGAGTGCCTCTGGTGTTGCTATAAGAAGGTCCTCCATTGTGCATGTGGTAGGGTTCAGGCTGCATTGTAATAGGTGGCCTGTGGTTTGCTCTTCTCTACACGTGCATGTCGTAGACTCAACTTTATGGCCCCATTTCTTAAGGTTGGCTCTGCATCCCATGGTGGCAGAGCCCAGTTTGTCCCAAGTTGCCCAATTTTCTGTGTGCCCAGGAGGGAGTCTCTCATTCGGTATCAGCCATGTGTTGAGGTCCCGGGTTAGCTGGCCCGCTGTATCCATTCATTCTGCATTCAAGGTTTTAAATAACCATAGAATCATAGAAGCATGGCTACAAACTTTTTGAGAGAAAAAAAAATCCAAAACCAAACCTTGATTTTGTGGTATTTCAGACACTACACTGCTGTAGCCTCTCACAATTTCACAGATCCTCAGTCTATTTCTGGCACTTTTTAAGGTTATTGCCATTTTATATAAGCAATACCATTTTACTGTGCCAATATATATATAATGGGGTGCTCTAACTGGAGGTCAGCTGTGACCAACAGCACTGCAGAATTTGAAGAGGCACAAATGGAGGGTGAAAGGGAGGAAGGCGTGTCAAACCAACTCTGACTGGAACTGCCTTCCACCTGGAAACTGATGTCCTCACTGCAGGAGAACATGCAAATCAAGAATAGGACTCCACAGCCACCTACGGACCCACCATCAAGATACTACACTTGGAGAATCATTATCCTTGGGCTACGAGGGATTGCATAAGTAAGTAAGTAAGTAAGTAAGTAATGGGGCTTGAGTTTCTGTAATTTTTGGTATACATGAAGCATCCTGGAGCCAAAGCTAAGCAAAACCGAAGGTATTGTTTTAATAAATAAGTTAATTCCAAGCTCTGTATAAAAACTTAAATCTTCTACTGAGCTTTTGTATGGAGTGCTTTGAACATTGGACTCAAGGGCTCTCGGATCAAAGTGCCATTTGGCCATGGAAACCCACAGGGTGACTATGCACATATCACATACTCTTAACCACAAAAACTCTATGATTGGTTCACTTTAGGGTTGCCATTGTTTAGAAATGACTTGAAGGCAGTCAACAATCAAGCTAGATTGTACATAGATATTAAAATTCATGGTGGAGATAGTTGAACTAGGGGATTCCAAGCCAAAGCTATCAGGGTTCCCTTCCAGAAGTCTTCTGGAGAGTTGGCTGATGCTCTCCAGGTAGAAGCAGCATCATCACCAAGCACATCTTCTGAAACCAGACTCCTATCCTTTCCCCTTTTGGCTTTGGATTTTTCCTTATTTATACAATTCCTTACCAAGTGAAACCAAGCATAAATTCATGATTCATGTTGTTATGTGCTCTCAAATCAACCTCAATGTATGGTGAGATTCCCCCCCCCCTCTTTTTTTTGTTTTGCATGTCATATAATGAGCTGATCCATGGTCAATAAAACATTCTGAAATATTGTTTGATAAACCTGCTGTCACAATGATTTTGTTGCTTTCATTGGTATAAGTATCAAAGAGTAACTTCACAGAAAAGTTTCTAATTTCTTAATCTGGATCTATTTGATGTGGACACAAAGTCACAAAAGCTTAAAGTTGGGATAGTCCAACCTGTGCCATTACAAAAGTATCATTCCTGAAAGAAGAGCATCCAATCTCTGTGCAAAGATCTTAAAAGAGAGTCCACCACCCTTTGAAGCAGTCTATTCCAATGTCAAACAATCTGTACAATAAAGACGTTATTTCTAATGTTCAGGGAGAATTTCTTTTTTTCTAATCTGTTGAGGTGTTCTACCTTCATCAAAGTACAATGCGATGGCAATACAGAGATATTTATTGGGATTTTGTATAAACACATTTTCATACCTAACAATGTGATAGCAACCCAAACTATGAAATGATCATCGTTCTGTTGCGCGCTGGGCCTGTAAAAATTGTCTTTTGAATAGGACGTGCACTTTGTGACCAGCGGGAAACCAGGGCGCCTCGAAAGAGAGGCCCTCAAGGATTTTCCTATACAATAGTCTTAGAACTTGAAAGGTTATTATTGAACAAATTAAACAAATACTTCCCAGATCTTCAATGAGTCAAACAAATGCTTCTTAACTTGTCTACAATGGACAGGCACCTTGCTTGGAGAACTATTTCTTTCTTTAACAAGGAAAACCCTTTTTTAACCTCTCCCAGGCTGTCTACTATCTAAGCTTTGCTGATGTCGGTTTTTCTACCGTATCCAAACTGCTTCTTGGGCACCGAGTAGACCTACCAGTCAAGACTTGTAGATTCTCCAGCTGGAGTTCTTTGGGTCTGTAAAGCTGTTTTCCCCCAGATGCTGTAAGGCTGAGAGGCTGTAAGCTCCTAGCCAAAGCTTTGGGACTTTCCCCCCGGAAAATCTTAAGAAATGAAGCTTTTCTGCAGGTGGAGCTGGTCCATGTCCTCTAGCTTAGTTTCCTTCTGTAAGACTGAACTAAAAATGGCTCCCTCTCCTCTCCAGATCCCTGGGGAAAGGGGCAGAACCAAACACAGCAATGACAGACAGGT